GTCAAGGTGCATTCTGGGATCTCGGCGGAACAAGACTGGAGACCGCCGTGACTGGGGGCGGGACCTCAGCGCACATGGGCTTGTGAAATTGGGTTTGGAGGGCTGTGGCCCCAGCTGGAGGGACGCCATGGCACTTAATCAACATGCTATATGAATTTGGCGTAGTACTCATGCTAGTTTATTTATTCGCTCTAGAAATCCTTGCATCTACTGTGTACCAGACGCATTGCTAGGCTCTGGATTTTCACTGGCCCAGAACAGTGTCTAGTATATAGGAGGCGCCCATTAAGTGCAAATTTAATGATGCGGGGTTGGGGTACGGGGACAGGCGTTGAGGGTATTCGGCGGCTTGCAGGGGTAATGGAGAGTTTTGATGGTGGTCTGTTTCTTGGGAACTCCTGTAGGTCGACTTCACGTATCACCAAGTCTCAGGTCACCCTAAAAAGAGATGTTCTGGGCCCTTCCAGATTTAAGGTAGAACCTGAAGATAGCTCGTGCTGACCCCTCGCAGTGAGAATGGAAGAGAAGCGTGCACATACCGCGTCGTTCCCTCCCAATCTCCGCCGCTCCTTTCCGGAGATCGAGACTTTTTCCTTTTCTCCCTCGGTTTCGATTTTTTTTCGTCTGAAATCGAGACTTCTGTAGCGGTTTCTGTGCGATCCAGGCTCGCTCCTATTGACTCGGCTCACTGCCACCCCAGCAGTCGCCGCGGTCTCTGTGGCGCAATCGGTTAGCGCGTTCGGCTGTTAACCGAAAGGTTGGTGGTTCGAGCCCACCCAGGGACGCTCTGTTTTGTTTTTTCCGGGAATTGGAAACGAAAGGCTTTTGCTCAGAACGGCTCAAAAGCTAAATTTTTTTAATTTAAATGGCAACGCAACACTTTTCTATAGCAAATAGAGAGTCATTGTGGTTGAAAATTCGTTCTTGTTCATTCAATGATGGGATAATTTCTCCGGCACTTCCTTCCACCCCCTCCTCGCCCCGCCTCCAAGCTGGATTGCAGGAAACCCAAAGACAGGTTTTTTTGTCTCACTGTGCAACACGTTTCAGGATACATTTTTCGTAGGATTGAGAATGAATTTTCAGTGGAGGCTGGATAGTTTTCCATTGTATGCCTCGGGCGATGTTACAATCTCGAAATAATATTCGGAGGAGAATAGGGTAGTGAGAAAGAAAGGCAAAGACCACATGAAGGACGAAGAGAAACAAAGGTGAGAAAGACTGTAGCCGCAATATACCGAGAAAGAGGGGACGTTACCAGGAATAGGCGGAGCGAGAGAGGGAAGACCCCAGGAAAATGGAGAGAGGAAAAAGACAAGAATTTAACATGAGAAGCATCAGAAAGGGAAAAGAACAATTCTTCTTTCCTAGAAATTATGGAGAAGTGGGCAGAAGGATGGGGGAAATAAGCATAAAACTGACAAAGGACATTGTTTTCTGCAGAGAACAGGTGTAAAGGACACAGAGATAAAGACATTCATGAAACAACTACAAGAGCCACCCTCTCCTACCATAGTAGTCATTTCAAAAGGGCTGTTGTCCTCACAATGGCGCAGAGTATGTGCTGGAAGTAATTACCTACATTTCTCACGTTCCTGCCCTCTGACAGCCTTTAGTCTGTGATGGACACAGTGACCCTTCTGATAGTACTTGTCAGCTAGAGGACCTTGTGAGATACAAACACAAAATCAAGGAGCTTCTAATGTTGGCAGAGGCGCGTCCCAGGGAACAGGATGGGACCCTCGACCTTTGTTAAGAATTCGCAAAGAGCTCTTAAGCAGTTCTCTTTGACACTTGGTCTCTCAATATTTGGCTCAAGAGAGGCCTCTTCTGGAGACCCTTCCCAGTGCTCTTCCACCCTGAGCGAGAGCTCACACCAGATGCTGTGGAAGCTAACGGGACAGGTTGTGCGTTCTTCGGGTTCTACCCCCATTGGCCGGTGAGCGCCCAGCACAAAAAGCCCTGCTTGTCTGCTTTATATCTGTAGTGCCTAGGGCAACATTTGATCTTGGCACATGACAGATGCTTCCATGTCAGTTGATAAAATAAAGACCGGAAAACCAGAGAACTTCAGACGTGGGAAGAGTTGGGTCAGAAGGTTCTGATAAACCAGAAAGGCCAGGGATATGGAGACGGGTCATCCAAGAGGGAAGAGATTAGAGTTTTAGTAGGTAGTAAAGTCTCCAACATACTTCTTCTCGCTCATGAATGGTGCTTAATAACTGAACTGAAAAATGAGTGAATGAATCCGCTTAGCACAGTGGCCCCCTCGGGCAGCCTTCCAGGATTAATCGGCTTCAGTCGGGACTCAGAGGAACCAGCGGTGTGGATTATGAAAGGGATCGACATCTCCGCAAAGCCCCTAAAAGTTTCTCTTGCTCCGAGTCTTGAAACCTGAAAGGAGTGGCAAACCAGGGGTCCCTGTCGCGCTCCCCTCCCGGGAGAGCGAGTGGATGCGTGAGTCTTCCCTGGCAAAGTCTAGGATGCTGGCGACATACTGGCTCTGGGGACAGTAGGCGTGTCCACACCAAGAACACCCTTTCCACAGGGGCCGGTGAACTCGCCGTCTCCCGCTGCAGGAACAGTGGAGCAGGTGACCGGATCCTCCCTTGGCCCTTCTCCCGCTGGTTCTCGGACCACTCCCTCTGAGCGGAAATCTCTCCTGCCCTTCCTTTTCCTCCCTGCGCCTATTCAGCCAGTGTGGGCTGAAGGCTGAAGCTGGGGTCACTTGGCGGCCGGTGCCCACAGGTCTACTGGTCGTCCGGTCAGTGGGCAAAAGTATTCAGTTCGGGTCCCCCAGCTTCGGGGCTGCCTTGGCTGCTAACAAGGAGGGAAGGAAGAGGCAGGCGCTCCGAAGCTTGGCAGATTCGTTCTAACTCGAGCCACCGCCGTCAGTGCGCTTAATGGCGCTCTGGCCGGATAATCGAGCTCTTTGGAGGGACAGACACAGTTGCTATTCCCAATAAATCGAGAATAACGTATAAGTGAATCGATCGTTCTAATGAGGCCCACGATCGTCATCATAACGCATTATCGATTCGCTTCTCCGGCGCCGGCCTCACCACTGCTCCAGGCTTTTCCAAGCCTGCCTCTTGCTCCTTTCCCTCCGGCCAGAACCCGTGGGGACCTGAGCCCAAGCTCTGCGTGGAACCGGGAGCTACAGTCGGGGTCGGCGGGCACCAGCCACTTTTGCGCTTGCCGACTCCTCCTGCCTCCGCGGCGAGGGAGGCGCACAAACCCAGCGGAGCGCAAAGCTGGAGCGAAAAATGCGGGAAACATTCAAGCCACGAAAAAAAGCGCGGGCCCATTTTCGAGCCTCACCGCCTAGCTCTCTAGTCCATCTTGGCCTCTCGCCTTCAGTTATTGAATCCCAGACCCGGAGTTGAGTCCTCATCTTCAGTTGGTCTCCCGGGCCCGGGTTACGTTCCATTCTTATTTGCCAGAGCACGCCGGGAGCGCCAGTCTCCTGCACAGCAAACTAAGACACCCCCCCCCGCCGCCATGAGTCCCCCCCAACCCTGGCCTCAACCCTTCAACCCTCCACTCCCCTCTCGCTGTTTGCTCCCTCCGAGGCTCTCTCTCCCAAGCTGAATCCAGCTGCGCGGCGTTTTAGAGCCAACTATCCGGTCAAGGGAGTGGGAAGGATACTGTTTCTCTTGCTGATGCAGTTATTAATTTTAAGGGAGTGTCACTTGGAGTGAATGAAAATCACCCGACGCGTGGCTGGAAGCGTCGCGTCTCTCGCTGGAGCTCTGTGCCCTTTGGTCTAGGCCGGGGCGTGGAGGACTGCGAGCTACATTTCAGTCCAGACCTCATTTCACCATTTTCCAGGAGCCCCAGCGAGGGGTGGGGATCTCAGGTCAGTGGGGTGGCGGGCATACATATTTTGAGGGGAGGTCTCTAATTACGCAGGGTAACAGGGAAGTGGGTTCATCCTTCAGGGTCAGGGAGGCTGTTTGGGAGCGGAGGGGACTTGTCCTGCTTTAGGGGGCCCCGCACCCGGTGGCGGGGAGAAGCCGCGCTAGCCTCTCCCCCTCTTCTTTCCCTCTCCGCAAGCACCCTGAAGGAATGAGGTCACGTGGGTGAGTAGTGGGCGGGACTACTCTTGTCTGGAGGAAAAAGCCATTTTGTCTCCCCCCCACAACTCTGGTCCCTCCCCTCCCCCCCTAGGTCTCCTCCCCTCCCCTCTCTCCCTCCCACCCCAAGCGGCTTTCACAAACTCCTTTCTTACCGTAGGTTTCTCCCCTCCCGCTGCCCAAGCTAGCCACACGGCTGCGGTCCCCCCTCCCCTCCCTTCCCTCCCTCCCTCCCTCCCATCCCCCCCTCCCCGAGACCACCGGACCCCGAACCCAGGTAAGCAGACGCGGACTCACCCTTCCTTTCCTTCTCCTACCTTGTAACCATCTGGGGATTGGGATAGGGGGCTAGTCTCTCCTTTACAAACCCCTGTGTGTTGGGGGGAAGCTAGGAGCTGAGCCTGCTTTCGCATCCCCCCGCCCCGCGCCCCGCCAGCCCCTACCCTAGCTCGCCCCGTCCGCCTTCCTTTCTCCTTTTTTTCTGCCCCCTTTTCCCTTTCCTCCCTTCCAAGATGGCCGAAGTGGATTCCCCTTTTTAACGATTTGGCGTCTCCCTCGACCACCACCTCTTTGTGCGGCAGCCCCCTCATAGACCCTGCTCCTGAGGTAGCTAGGGGAAAGGTCCGGGGCAGCCATGAGGGTTTGGGGGGTGCGCGCCGGGTTGGATCACTGCCCCCCATCCCTTCCCGCGAGCCCGAGCCGCCCGTGGCGCTACTAGATCTACCCCTTTTAGGTCTGGGCAGGGGTCGCCTTTCCCGTGGACACTGGGGCGCCGTGGACCCGCGAGGACTTGAGGCCAGGAGGGAGGGGACGTGCATTTTGATTGCTGCGAGGCCGGGGGAGGGCGCCCTTCCCTGCCGGGTCCGGGTCCTCTTGGGCACCTCCCCCAGCCGGTCCCCTTGCCCGGGTCCCAGCACAGGGCGCCCCGCCCCCTCCCTAAGCACCTCTGCGGAGCCTCTTTCTCCGAAGCACCCCTCCTGGGCCCCGCCGAAAGTTTGGCACTGGGGAAGGTGGGAGCGGCCACCAGGTAACTGGGGTCCCTGATGCTTTGACCCAGGCTCTTGGGGGAGCCCGGGCAGAGGGGAGGAAAGATAATGAGAGGGGGATTTGTCGCGATATTTCTCACGCCGGCGGAGGCCAGAGGGGTCTGAGGAATTGGCCCCTTTTCCACTGGGGAGCCCGGCTGCCCCTACGTCCTCAGGCCCTCCTGCTGCTACCTCTGAGAGGGTGAGAGCCCTGGGCATGCAGACACCCCCTGCCGCCTCCTGTATCCACGGTGGGCCCAGGTATGCTCCCCTCCCCCACTGCCCGAGTCTGCCCAGAATTGCTCCGGTTGGCTTGAGGAGGGAGGAGGCGGCCTGGGGGAGGGCAGGGGTGGGAATTTGCCTATAAATATTATGGGAGTGTTACTCCGCGCTTCCGTGGTCTTTGTCTCGGAATCTCCCACTTAACTCCCCACGCTGCCTCAGTCTCTCTAGGGCTTCTTGTCGCTTAGGGAAGGGAGGGATGCCTCCTGGTGGTCTCCCACTCTATTCTCCTGTCTCTTCCTCTAGGCTTCTTGCAGTTTGTTTCTGTTCCTGAAACTCTGAATCCCTCCCCCCAAGGTGTTATTATTGGGCGAAGGAGTATAAAGCCAGCTCTGTTGCAGCTTTTCGGTGGGGAGGATTTCCCAGGGGTTCTCCTGGTTGCGGGTTGGGGGGGGGGTTGAGGCCTTAGTACTGTCTTTGGAATGAGACAGGAAACTGACTCCAGAATCCAGACCAGGGGTAGCTGGGTAGGGTTCAAGTTGAAGTCTTGGGGGGCGGGGCAGGAAGTCTTGGGGGGGGTATATGTAGCTTGAGCTGCCCCTGACCTAGCCTGAGAGACCTAGGTTGATGGAGCTGTTGCCATGGGAATGGAGAGAGCCTGAACAGGAAGAGGTTACATCTTTGTGCTGGTCAGATGCCCACCACATCCCTCCAGCCTCTGGCCCCTCAGAGTAGAGGTTGGGAGCTGAACTGCCTTTGTTGCTGGAAGACTTTATCACTTATCCTGGGTAGACCGGGGATACACAAAAGGTTGATGTGTGTTTGTAGGTCTGGTTCCAAGCAGAGATGTCAGGCTGTGTGCTTCTGGATGGGGTGGGTGGGGATGGCTTGTGCATCTGGCAAATGTGGGCCTGGCTCTTGGTCTGGCTGCATGCGTGGTGGGGTGTGTCTGCCCAAGCGTCTGTGAGTGTATGTGTGTTTGTGTTGTGTATTTGTGTGTGTGGTGTCATGTCTATCTGGCTTTGGCTGTTGTGGGTGTGAGCGATGGAGGAAGAATGTTTCTGGCTGTGTATGTGTGTGTATCTGGTATTGTGTTGCTCTGAGTATATATTTTGGGTTTGGGTCTTTGATCTTGGGGATCTGAGAGGTAGAAGAGAGGGAGGGAAGGTAGAATAAGCCTGGCTTCAGGAAGCTAGGCCTTTATCGTCAGGGGAACAGGGAAGCAAATTCTCATGCCAGTATCCAGGATTAGGAAAAGCGGAGAGGTTCACACTGTCCTAGGCAGATCCCATGGTCCCAACAGAAACACATGGAGCCTGTGAAGCTGAGCCCCTGGGGTCCAATCTTGATGTATGCTCTTTCTCACTGTGCTTCCAGGGAGCCTCAGTCTACCCATCTGTCCTAAGGAAGTGGGTGGGCAATTAGAGTCTTCCCCTCTTTTTCCTACTGCAAGGTGAGAATGTGCACTAATGGGCATCATTTGGTCAAACTGACTCCCTCCCAGAACACTCACTGAGTGGTCTTCTTGCTACTCTGGGTAACGGCCCTTTGGCCCTAGTACTTGCTGGGATGGAGGTGGGCCAGGCATTACTTCCTTAGATGGGTGAGCCTGGCCTGGGTGCCAGGATGTAAAAAGTACTGGGATGGGAGTCAGGCAGTATCTTGTCACAGGGCTGCCACTGCTTTACTGTGTGACCTCAGACAAGTCATTTCTCTTTCTTTATCTGTAAAATGAAAGGGCTGGACAAGGTATATTCTAAGACCCTTTTCACCTCTACAATTCTTTTTTTTTTTTTGAGACAGAGCCTCAAGCTGTTGCCCTGGGTAGAGTGCTGTGGCATCACAGCTCATAGCAACCTCCAATTCCTGGGCTTAAGCAATTCTCTTGCCTCAGCTCCCAAGTCGCTGGGACTATAGGTGCCCACCACAATGCCCGGCTATTTTTTGGTTGTAGTTGTTGTTTGGCAGGCTGAGGCTGGATTCCAACCAGCCAGCTCTGGTGTATCTGGCTGGTGCCTTAGCCACTTGAGCTACAGGCGCTGAGCCTCACCTCTATAGTTATTGACAACTGGATGTGACCTTGAGTGACTTTTCCTAAGACCTGGAGACTTTCTAGTAAGGGAGTTGGGCTAATTCACTGGAGGAAAGGCAAAGTGAAGTGACAGCTGTCATCTGAAGCAGTAGGGACCCTGGGTTATCAGAACCCAGCAGCATCCGCAGGAGGCCCAAACTGCAGAGCAGCTTCCAGAAAGAGACTGATCAAAATGGAGAGGCAGAGGTGTTTCTTATCAGTAGGGGGCTTTGAGGATAGGGAAAGACAACTGCCAGACTTGAATGGCAGGGAGGAATCAGCACTGGATGCTAGGTGCTGGATGCCAGTCAAACTCCTTTCCTGCTACTATAGCCAGACCCAGGGCCTCAGGGGCCCAGACAGTGTATAGGGGCAGAAGATCTTGACGGGCTTGAATTCCTGTAGAGGGAATTCCTCAGGTCCACTGGTGAGGGGTATAATTGGGACTGACCTGTTACCGCCCCTGAGCTCCACAGAGGCCACTTGCAATGAATGACCCTCTGTTTCCATTGGCTGCTGCTTAGGATCTGTCTCTCCCACTCTTTCTCAAGTCCTTCCCATCTCTCAGCCCCTTCCCTGTAGTGATGATAGTGGACTTCCCTCACCTTCCCACAATGCACCAGCCAATTTTAGCCAGGGAGGAACTGGGTGTCAGGAATGAGTCACCCCCCCCCCTTCCTCCTGGGTAGGGGGAGATAGAGAGGGTGCTCTGGGGAAACAGAGCTCCTGTTTACATTGCTCTTGGCACCTGCTGGCAGGGCCCTGCAGGTATCCATGGCAATCAGGTAGGGAACCAATCATTGCTTCTCCCCACCCCCAACCCCAGAGGTAACGTTGGGAGGCCCATGGGGATGGGGGGGCAAGAAGTGTGACAAGGGGCTCATTCCTTTAACAGGAAGGAGGAGCATTTAATTCAATAGAGGAGTCCCTTGCCCTTATGTCCCAAAAGGGGCCTGAGGGATAGGCTTAGTCTGAATTGTCACAAATGCTGGGGAAGTGAGAGGGTCAGGGGCACCACCATTTGCAGTGTGGGGTTCCTGCCTGTGTGGTTCTTAAGAGCAAGTGTCTGTTTAGAAAACACAGCAAGTGTTTGAATAAGGTGGCTGAGGCAGTGTGAAGAGCCTGCGTGTGTGTGTGTGTGTGTGTGTGTGTGTGTGTGCGCGCACATGCACATGAGAGAGAGAGAGGTGAGGGTGTGAGATCTACCCCCAGCATCCCAGACCTCCTGCATGTTTTGTCTCTGGCAGTTCATGCACACACGTAGATGCATCTGGCCACAGACACAGGGCAGGCAATCACAGGAAGTACCTTTGGAGATCCAGACGGCACGTACATACACGATGGATATTACACACACTCAGAGATAGCCACTTGGATTGTTCTCTCCTTTGGATGGTTGTAATAATATTTGGGCATCTTGCCAGGGACAGGGTTACTATGGAAACAACCAAACAGTGGAGTAGCCGGCAGCCTTCTGCGTAATTGTGATGGGGGACCCATGCAGGGAGGGCTGGCTAAAGCCATCCTATGTGGGGTGGGAACCCGTTCCATTCCTCAGGTCTTGGGGGCCACTACCTCTCCGCTGGGTCTCTGGGCTTGCTGTGAGGCTGGCTTGTTCTCTGTCTGCCCTGCAACTTGGTCTCTCTCCCACGTGTGGCTTTTGTGCCTCTCCATCTCTTTCGGTCTCTGGCCAGGTTCCCTGGGCCTCTGTTGGCTGTTTGGGTCCTGGCCAGACTCATCCTGGGGTCTCTATAGAAACTGCTGATCCTGGCTGTGAATTTCTTGTCCTAGAAAACCCTGTGTGGTGGCTTTTGAATTCTTTCTGGAAAGGAGAGAAGGGTATGAGTATGTTGTAACGGAGCGATGGGGCTTGGCCACCCTCCCAAGCCCCACCCCTGGACTTTTACTCTGGGAAAGAAGAGGCAGGGAGGGGTCGTCCCTTCCAAGTGCAGGTTTGATTTTGATTTCTGTACCAAGAAGTAAGCCCAGACAGCAGCCAGTCCACAGTCAGACTCTGACTCATGTCATTGGACCCTGCCAGGCCTAGAAAGGTGCTTGGGTGTCTGGGAACAGAAAATGAGAGCCTGTGGTTTGTCACTGGACAGCCTGTGATCAAGTGGCTGAGGTGTCACTAGGGCAGGGGATGGTGTGAGGGTAGTAGTACACAAGTGGAGAAATTTCTGCATGAAAGGGAGGTCATGGGCCGGGCACTATGGCTCACACCTGTAATCCTGCCTGAGCTCAGAAGTTAAAGAGAATGAGAATGAGACCCTGTCTCTACTAAAGATAGAAAAACTAGCTGGCTGTGGGTGCCGAAAGTCCCAGCTACTTGGGAAGCTGAGGCAATAGGATCACTTGGCCCAAAAGTTTGAGGTTGCTGTAAGGCTAGGACACCATGGCACAGAGTAAGACTCTGTCTCAAAAAAATAAATAAACAAACAAAGAGAGGGAGGAGATTATGGACCATGCTTGTGCTAGTGGGTACTCGGACAGAGGACTGTCTATCAGAGGCAGAGTGGCAGGAGTCCCTGTGGCAGGGATAAGAGTCTTTTTGCCTAAGCTCTTTTTTTTTTTTTTTTTTTTTTTTTTTTGAGACGAAGCCTCAAGCTATCCCCCTGGGTAGAGTGCCATGGCGTCACACTCACAGCAACCTCCAACTCCTGGGCTCAAGCGAGTCTCCTACCTCAGCCTCCCAAGTAGCTGGGACTACAGGCGCCCGCTACAACGCCTGGCCATTTTTTGGTTGCAGCCATCATTTGGCGGGCCTGGGCTGGGGATTCGAACCCACCACCTTAGGGGTATGTGGCTAGTGCCTTAGCCGCTTGAGCCACAGGCGCCGAGCCCTTTTGCCTAAGCTCTTTGACTGTCCTTACCTGTGCAGTCCAGGGCTGGGCCTGGGGTGGGGCTGGAGCCGTGTGTTACCAGCTTTGCTCGTGTAAAGACTTTCAGTTTTCCCTGCCTGTTTCCAGGGACAGCTTTGTGGAGGTGGAGTGGATGGAATGGAAGGGAGGATAGGACAGAATATAGAGACATGGCTGAGGCCTTGCACCTGGGTGGAGAGAACAAGGATAATTTATTCTTCCCTTCTTTTGTTCCCTGAAGTTTGGGGCATTGGCTTATTTATTTAAGTTTCCTCATAGCTTCTAATATTCTTTAAATGTGTGACCACTTGAGTGAATATAGATTGGAATTAGGGAGGTTTTTTTTTTTTTTTTTGGAGACAGTCTTACTTCGTTGACCTGGGTAGAGTGTACATGGCATCATAGCTCACAGCAACCTCAAACTCTTGGACTCAAGTGATTCTTTTGCTTCAGCCTCCTGAGTAGCTACAGGTGTCAAGCACAATACCTGGCTATTTTTTAGAGATGGGGTCTTGCTCTGGCTCAGTCTGGTCTCAAACTCATGAGCTCAGGCACTCCACCTACCTCAGCCTTCCAGAGTGCTAGGATTACAGGTTTGGGCCACCTTGCCCAGCCCGGGATTAGGGAGATTTTTAAAAACCCTGTTCTCTTCCATTTTTCTGCCTTCCCACATCCTCTGGAGAGTTCGGTGGTACTTTCTATTATTTGACTTCAGTCTTTGCTGCTGCTCTGTGGATGGAGCACGACCTTGTTGCTCAAGTCTTGTGTATCCAGTGAACACTCAGGGGGCCAGAAAGAACCAGCCACATGTATGCCCCAGGCCCGCCTGGATGGCAGAGAAGGGCCATGGGCTCAGGGAAAGAAGTTGCTGGGGGTGGGTGGGGAGAATGTGGAATGAAGTGTTTCTGGGTTTCTGATTCTACTTCCATTTCCCAGGGTGACACTCCCCAGTCCCCCCACCCTGACCCTGGCATCATGCATCGGACCACAAGGATCAAAATCACGGAGCTGAACCCTCATCTCATGTGTGCCCTCTGTGGGGGGTACTTCATTGATGCCACCACCATTGTGGAGTGCTTGCATTCCTGTAAGTTGGGTAGACGGGGTGCTTCTCAGGTTGGGGGTGCACTGCCCAGGGAAGGTGGGACACAAGCTCTTGTCCTGAGGAGCATAAACTTCCACTTCCACAGAGAGGCTGCTTGGAGGGTGGGGAGTCTCAGCCCAATTCATTTCAAGGACATGTATCTGAAATCTCAGTTCTCTTTCGTATCTCTGTGGCTGAAAATTCACCCCTTGTTTGCACTATTGGCTTGGACCCAGGGAGGTGTCCAACAGGCTAGCTTTGGGGTTGGGGACTTGGGGCTACCTTATGTGTTGTATATGACACCAAGACTATTTCTTTCTGTCTCTCTCTCTCACACACACAGACACCCACACACACACACACACAGACACCCACACAGAGAGATACATACACACACACAAAGATCCGTCTTGCCAGGCATGGTGGCTCACTCCTGTAATCCTAGCATTCTGGGAGGCCAAGGCCGATAGATTGCTTGAGCTCAGGAGTTCAAGACTAGCCTGAGCAAGAGTGAGACCCTATCTCTACTAAAAATAGGAAAGAAAAAAACTCCCCCAAACTAGCTGTACCCTGTGGCTGGCACCTGTATCTCAGCTACTTGGTAGGCTGAGGCAAGAGGATCTCTTGAGCCCAGGAGTTTGAGGTTGCCGTGAGCTATGACATGACAGCACTCTACTGAGAGAGACAAAGTGAGACTGTCTCAAAAAAAAACAAAAACAACAAAAGATCCATTCTCCCCAAGGGTGGATTACAAGGGGTAGTTGCCATATGTGCCAAATATACATGACCACATTGGGCCACTGAGCAGGGACAAGGTGGAGAAGGGATGTTGGGATCTAAGAAGCATGGAGGCTGGTCTGGGGGTAGGAAGGAGCTCTGACTCTCCTTTTTCTCTCCATACCCTTAAGTTTGCAAAACCTGCATCGTGCGCTACCTGGAGACCAACAAGTACTGCCCCATGTGTGATGTGCAGGTCCATAAAACCCGCCCACTGCTCAGCATCAGGTGGGCTTGGCGCTGCCCTTTCTGTCTGGGCCCATCCTCTGGGTCAGCGTCCCTCTGTCCCCCTCACCCTGGCTGGCTTCCTGCAACCAAGGTGGCAGATGTGGGAGAAACACAGGTGTGGACCCAGGCCCCTCCCTGCCTCTGGGTTGTACCCAGCTTGTCATGGGCTAAGACACTAGAGGGGTAAAGACCAGGCCTATAGGGACCCCAGTGCCTGGGTGCTTGGTCTAAGGAAGTAGGGCGAGAAGAGGGGGTCCCTGACAGGGGACATGGGGGAGGGGTGGCTGTTAACGGGCCCCTGTACGTTTTTTCCCAGATCTGACAAAACCCTCCAAGACATTGTCTACAAATTGGTTCCTGGGCTTTTTAAAGGTATTTGCATACCCTTGTTGCCCACTGCCCCTGTTTCCCAGCCTGTGGCTCTCTCCTTACCTTCTTCCTCCCTCCAGATGAGATGAAACGGCGACGGGATTTCTATGCAGCATACCCCCTGACAGAGGGTGAGTGTGTTCATTTGTGTGTGCTGGGGACCACATGGGTATGTAGCCCTGCCTCCACGTGCCCTTCCTGCTGCAGACTGCCAACCCAGAGGGCTCATCCTGCTGAGCTCCGTGACCCCTGAGTCTTTGGTAGGCTCCCCTACCCCATCCTCAGCCAACCCCTCAGAGCTCTCTCCTGCAGTCCCCAATGGCTCCAATGAGGACCGTGGTGAAGTCCTAGAGCAGGAGAAGGGAGCTCTGAGCGATGACGAGATTGTCAGCCTTTCCATCGAGTTCTATGAAGGTGCCAGGCAAGTCTGGTCCAGGCCGGGCCATTTGGGGGTTCTAGGCTGGGTTGCCCACTTCTCCTGCCCTGGCCCCATTACCCTGGGATGGCCCTCTTGATGTGTGCCCAGGGGGTCCTGCCTGCTTCTGTCTCTCCCTAGCTTCTTTCTTTCTCCTCTCCCAGGGACCGGGAAGAGAAGAAGGGCCCCCTGGAGAATGGGGATGGGGACAAGGAGAAGGTGAGTGCTAGGACCTCCCCAGAGGGTAGAATATGGGCTGGAAGAGAGGGGCATGGGACAGATGCCCCCCATGGGTGCCTCTGCCCCAGCAGACAGGGGTGCGCTTCCTGCGATGCCCGGCAGCCATGACGGTCATGCATCTTGCCAAGTTTCTTCGAAACAAGATGGATGTGCCCAGCAAGTACAAGGTGGGTCCCTGAGCCTTTCAACAAATAAGTGTCTGTGCGTGGGTGTGTCTGACAGTCTGTGCATCCCAGCCATTGTTCAGGACTTGCATGGTTGTGTAACTGAGCCCATGTGGAAGGGTGGTTGAAACCAAGTTAGGGTGGGGCAGTCTAGGTCTGTTGAAGTTGAAGTCAGCATGCAGAGGTGCATGGGAACAAGATGGTGTATGGTGTGCAAGGATATAGGACCTTATCTGGGGCCAGCTGGCTGCGGGAATGCCAGTCCGAAATTCCAGAGAGTAATTTCTCTGCTTCTCAAATTTGAATGTATATAGGATCCCCTGGAAATACTGATAAAATGCAGATTCTGATTCAGTAGATCTTCATTTTTAACCAGCTCCTTAGATGCTGAAGATCCATGGACCACACTTTGAGTAGTGAGGCTCTAGGAGAGTAGATCCTAAACTTTGCTGTATGTTAAATCATGGGAGTGGACTAACGTCTTAGGAGCTAAGTCAGAGTCTCTGAGGTGAGGCGCAAGCATAGGCATATTTTTTTAGAATTCCCTGGGTGATCCCATTGTGCAGCCAGGGGTGAAAGGCAGAGTTCCAGAGATCCTCCAAGCCTTTTTAGCTCTCTGGAAGACTTGCTGGAGAGAGGAGACCCACAGTGTGGATGGTGAGGGTTGTTGACATGGAGGCGTCTTATCTGGATATCTCTCCACCTGGTGATCAGGGGTTATGTTGGGATAGCACTGTTAGGGAAGTCAAATTGACTGTGAAACCCCAGAGGAATGAGGGACCATCTACAAAGCCACGCTTCCCACTGCCCCACCTCCCAGTCCCCAAGACTCCCAACCTGGAGCTCTGAGTCTGGTGAGAGTCATGGTGTTGTTGGTGCTGTCCACTTTCCTCCCAGGTGGAGGTTTTGTATGAGGATGAGCCGCTGAAGGAATACTACACCCTCATGGACATTGCCTACATCTACCCCTGGCGGCGGGTGAGCTGGGAAGGGTGGGGCAGGCCAGGCAGATGCCTACAGGGGTTGGCATTGGTCTGTGGCCACGTGGGACACTCTCCTCTAATCACAAATATTACATCCCTAACCCCATGAGCTGGCATGTCCAGGGTGACCTGCCAGCAGGTCAGCCTCTGGGCCATCTCTTGCTGATGACTAAACGTGTAAGAAAGGTTCCTTTGGCAAATTACCCTAATTAGGGGTCAGATATAGGTGCTTTCTGCGTTTTTGCTTCTCTCTCTCTTCTCTTTCTAAGTCTCTGCTTTTATGCCTTCTGCTTTGCTGGGTATTCATGTGCCTCTGTGTCTCTGTCTGCGCCAAGACAATGTACCTCCCCTTTCTTGTCTGGGCACTGTGGGGTAGAACTGGGTGGTTCCCTGTTTGGCCACTTTATTCTGATACCCTCCCCTTCCCTGGCTCTCTCCTCCTCCCTCTCCTGGCAGAATGGGCCTCTCCCCCTCAAGTACCGTGTCCAGCCGGCCTGCAAGCGCCTCACCTTGCCCACAGTGCCCACTCCCTCTGAGGGCACCAACACCAGTGGGGCATCCGAGTGTGAGTCTGTCAGCGACAAGGCTCCCAGCCCTGCCACCCTGCCGGCCACCTCCTCCTCTCTGCCCAGCCCAGCCACCCCTTCCCATGGCTCTCCCAGCTCCCATGGGCCCTCTGCCACCCACCCTACCTCCCCGACTCCCCCGTCGACAGCCAGTGGGGCCACCACAGCTGCCAACGGGAGCACCTCGAACTGCCTGCAGACACCATCCTCTGCCAGCAGGGGGCGCAAGATGACTGTCAACGGAGCGCCTGTGCCCCCATTAACTTGAGGAAAGGAACCTGTTCCTCCTTTCTAGCCATGCCTCTCCACTCCCTCCACTTTTTCTGGGCCCTTTTTTTCCACCTCTTCTACTTTACCCAGTTCCTCCCACCTTGGGGGTGGGGGGAGGGTTTTATAAATAAATCTATATATATATGTACATAGGAAAAACCAAATATACATACTTATTTTCTATGGACCAACCAGATTAATTTAAATGCCACAGGAAACAAACTTGATGTGTGTGTGTATGTGTGAGGGATGGGGTGTTCACTTTTAGGGGGTCTTGTGTAATTTGCTCTGCTCTCTTTTGGGGCTGCCTGGAGGTAGACTGGAGGGGGCCCAGTAAAGCTCTGCCCAACCCTCCTTGTTTCCCAAAGCGGATGGGAGGTTGGGGGGGCCCCACCATCCCCCAAAGCTTTAGGCACAATTCTGACTGGCTGCAATTCTGACTGGCTACATACACAGGGTGCATGCAGGGGTGCACCCTGTTCTCTACCTATCTCGGCTGCTGTCCTGCCCCTGACCAGTGCCCCCCCATTGTTGAATGTCCAGAGAATTGCTAAGACAGTGCCTTTCACAAATGCAGTGTACCTCTGGTTCCGAGAGCAAGTGGGCAGTGGGGATGGCAACTCCCTTTCCTCCTCTTGTAATGGAAACTTTGTGCAAAGAATCAGTAGTTCTGCCTCTTTTTTTCTCCCCCTCTTTTGTGTGTGTGGCCTTTTCATCATTATCTTGTGAAAGATTCAGGCCACAGGAGGCCTCAGCCCCTGAAATTCCACTGTGGCTTTAACATGGTGAACGACTTCAGCCCTTCCTGCCCCCTGGCCTCTTGCAGGAGCTTTCACTAGCAGGACTGGTGGTGAAGTCTCCTTGGGGACTAAAGTGGAGGGGCTAGGTTGGGGTTAACCTCAGACAAGCACAGACCCCAGATTTTGCTAAAGGCAAACTGCCCTCCAGTTCTCTCTCCACCCTTACCGGCGGCCTAGGCAGGACGGAGCATGGGGGGCATCTAAAAGCACAAGAAGACCTGTAAGCCCTGACCCCAGCCCCATTCCCAAGAGGTCAGTGAGTCCATAGGGATAGATCCCTGAGGATCCCTGCCCACCTAGTTTCCTCAAATGTACATAGATCTGGGAGGAGGCGAGGAAGTAATAGTCCAGATTCTATCACAACCTGAGTGTGGGGGTTGGGACCCCCTCCCTGTGGGTTTGTCTGTGTTTGCACCTTGTCCTGTGTCTGAGGTCCTGTGACTGTACCCTCCTCCTGCCCTAGGACATTTGTATCTCTTGGCTTTGTAATAAATGCTGCATACACTATGAGTCTGTAGTTTTTGGGGGTAGAGAGAAGGGTGGGTGGGTCCCCTAGCCTCATCATGCTTCTTGTCTCTGGGTTCAGCTGCCTTGGGGGCCCTATCTAGGATGAATCCGAACTGCCCTGTCCCTGTGGCTGGTCAGGTGCCCTCAGCCCACACACTTCAGGATACAGTCTGAAGCAGGAGATAGGCATGTGCTTCACACCAGTGACCACAAGACCACCACCCTGTGTGGGGATGCTTTAATGCCATTGTCTCCACCAGCTGATGCTGAACCAGGGGGCCTGTTACCAGCTGCTCAAGAATGGAGACTTCAGGTTATGGGGAACAGTTCCTTCACAAGCCAGTTGTGTGGGTGCTAGGGTCTCTGGATGATCCCTTCTTGAGCTCAGCACTCAGTTTCCCTCTCCACAAAGGGTTCCCGTCAGGCCTGTAGCCAAGGTCACGTGGGCCTGGGTGGCAGCTTCTCCCTTACAGTGGGGAGCCCACTTCTGCCTTCTGCACCTCTTCACTCCTGTGGGTGCCGTCACAGTATGGGGGCTTCTTGGTGGCCTTGCAGGTACAGAGTGCCACAACGCGGGTCTCCTGGGCCTTGAACTTGAGTGGGGTTAGGCCAGTGCGTTGGAAGAAGTGGGAGCCATCGCAGAAGGGCTGGTGGGGGAAAGAGCAATTAAAGACCTGACCCCACCTGCTAGGGCAGTCAGGTCAGGGCAGGTGTTGGAGCTCAGGGGGAGGGCAGCAGAGTGGCTGGGCCCCAGACTCCAGAGTGAGACTACCTGGGTTCACTAATTCTCTCATGTGTAACATAGGGGTAATGAGTAGAGTTGTCATGAGGAAATCAAATAAATAATGGTCATTGTGCACTTTGCCCATAGTAAGTTTTCATTAAGTATGAATCTTTACAACACTAGTCTCTGGGGGACCCAGAGAGCCAGGACACAAGGACAGTTTTCAAGGTGAAAAGAGACCTACAGTGTCAGCAATGTTTACACTGATACGCTTTTTTTTTTTTTTAATGGCTCTGAGTCTCCATGGTTCATGAAATTTATTTCCTTCTCATGTCCCCTGGATTGGAGAGCACCTGCATACCTTCACACGGCAATAGCAACTCTGTCTGGCATATGAAAGGGAGTGGATATTTCAGAGGGGAGGGTCCCATAGCAAGCCAGCTGCCCAGTGCATGAGTGCACTCCCTGTCCATCTCCAGAAGCTGTTTAAGCAGAGACAGGGTGATGGAAACAGGCCCAAAGAGGTGATGAGCCTTGCTAGTTAGTGGATGAGCTGGAGCCAAGACTTCTTGTTCTTGGAGCCAGGTAAAGATGGGAGGAGAGGTAAGAGAAGTGTGCAAATAGAAATCAGCAACCTGTCCCAGAGGCATGAGGCAGAGGAAGGTGCACCTAAGTGGGATTTGAGACCCTGGGTTGCTGGCACCATACCACATAGCTTGGAGGGACACAGTTCAACGCTTAGTTCAGGAAGGAAAGGGCTCTGCCTGAGTATATGGGCAGGATTCCTGCTGGGGTGAATGGCTCCTGGGGCAGAAGGGAGATGGGTTGTGAGGCAGGCAATGGGGCTGAGAAAACAGCAGACTGTGGTAGGTAACCAGGAACAGTCATATCAACTATCAGCAGAAAGTGAAGGGTTTTCTGGAAGAGGACTGGAGAGGGGCACTGGGAAAGGTTAGGAAGCTTTGAGGGCAGGACAGCCTGGGCAGAATCTCTTCCTAATGTTGGGGGTTAGGGCCTGGGAACCTAAGGCCCTGATGCTTTCTGGAAGGAGGAAGGAGAGAGGGAGAGACAGGTATGCCTATTGGTGCCTTAGATCTGGGAGCTCAGGAAGGTGCCTCTGAGAAAGAAAGAGACCAAAAGAGTCCAGAAGCTGGGTTCCACCAATCTGGCAGTGTGACTGAGTTTCTATCCCCTCAGCTTTGTTTCAAGGGGTAGATACAGACAAGTGAGCTTAAAGGCTGCTGGTGGCGCTGGCCTTTGGAGTATTCTTTCACCTCCAAGCCCCCTTGATATCCCTCAGGTATGTGTGGGAAGAAAAGGACCATGTTGGGTGAGAATTCCCAGGAGATACCATGCTGTCCTATAGTCAGAGGTGTCACAGGTCAAGGAGAAGGTGGGACAGGGTTTCTCACCTGCTTCTTGCTGTGGCCACACACACACCACCTGTAGGTTTTCCCAGCTACCAGCTCCACCTTGATGGGTGTTTTCAGGGCTACCACGGGCTTGGCTGGGATTTGAGGGAACCACCGGGCCTGGGGCCAGGGAAAATGAGGGGTTCAGGGTCAGTTCAAACACTAGAATCACTTTCTTGCCAGTTTCCCACTGGCCTGGGAGTGTGGCAGGCTTCCTCTACAGGAGGCTTATCTGATGCCACTCAGCAAGGACATTCCCCCAAGGCACTATAAAGACACTGAGCTCTGGATAGAGAAGAGATTTCAAGGCCATGCAGGCACTCAGATTTCAGGGTCCAGATGCCTTCTCTCAAACACTGGTTCCTACCTGAGTTCTAGGGAGAGAGGACCTTGATCCTGTCAGCCTAGGGCAGGGCCACCCACACATGGGGCTCAGTTAATCACTGCTGTCCTTAGTGCAGAAGATGGGCTCCTTGCCCAGTGCCCTCTGCTCCACTCCACCTTCTTTAGAGCCATCAGGGTTACAGAGGAAAGGCGTAGGGAGCCAGGAATCTGAGGAATAGGACTGTATTCTTACTGGTTCCATTCCCTGGTCTCCGACTTTGGGCCTAGGGGCCTTGTGTGAGGAGCAGGGGAGACTGGAGGTACTTACTAGCCAGGAGGAGATGTGGCGCTTCTGGTTCAGGTTCTGCAAGGCACACAGATATCACAAGACAGTGGCTTACAAAGAGAAAAATAAAATCACTGGAGAGGGGAAGCCGCGGGAAGCCATCAAGGAGGAAAGAGTTGACAGGGGCTAAAGGGACATGGGAGAAATGAGGGTCAGAAAAAGGGGTCACAAGAAAAGTCTTGCTGGGGAGATCCTGGCACCAGCAGGCGCGCAGGGAAAGGTTGCTGAGTAGAGGGCTGAGAGGCCAGCGGCCGCGCCGGAGCTTGGGGACGCTGGGCCTGAGAGAGGGCGGGGCTTGGGAAGGGGCCTGGCCGGGACTAGCTGCTGGTCCCTGAGCCGGGAGGGGAGAAGCCTTGGGCTGGGCTGGGGGTGCTCACCCAGGTGCTGCGCACCAACAGCCACAGCATCGCCCCCACGCCGCGCATGGCCCACCGAATGCGCGCCCGCTGGCTCCTCACGCCGCGGTCACCTTCCCGCTCCCTCCGCCTCCGCCCGCCTGGCCACGCCTCGGCCCGGAAGACGCTGCGGGGCTCCGCGCGGGCGTGGTCCGGGGCCTGCGGAGTCCGGAAGCCGAGTCGCAATGCCTGCCCCGTAGCCTTCTCAGGTCCCCGCGGCGTGGCGCGGGCTGCTCCTGGCGCCCCCCCTCCCACTTTGGGACTGGCCCGTTTGCAGAACGTCCGGCACGGAACACCGCAGCTGGAGCAGGGACCCTCCTAGGAGCCGGTTTTCCCCGGAGAGTCTAAGGCCTCTGGAAGCTCAGTGGAGGCGCATCTCATCACCCAGGGAAGGGCTCCACAGCCTGCGTCCCGGGTACCTGCACTTTGGACACGCCCCCGGGGACATCGTGTGCCCAGCAGTGTGAAGGGCTGCTCTGAGTGCTGACCCCGAGCGTCGTGAACCATACCCACCCCCAGCCTTCCCGCAAAGTCCCACCGTAACCACCCACCTCCATTTCCTTTCAATAAAGCCAGACCAAACAGGGGCTCTTTGGATTTTTTTTTTTTTGCAAAACATTCTTTTATTAAAAGAACAAGTGCTGTTTACGAACTGCCCTTCGTACAAATAACATCCGTATACAAAGATACAAGATCCGGGTTATGCACAATTCCAGGCTTGGAGGTGGCAAGGGACATTGCCTTTTGGGCTGAGGATATAAAGGAGGTTTTAGAAAGAATGAAAAAGGAACCCCTGGGTTTGCATTCTGTGGCTTCCCCTCCCGCTCCCTAGGAAGGTCTGCTACATGGAAACAGGCTGGGATGGAAAGGGGGGCGGGTGGGAGCCAGGGCTTGGGTCTCCAATCCCACCACCCAAGTCCCACGTTGAGAAAGTGAACGGGGAAAGAGAGCATCACTCAGTCCCCAAGTTTTCAGTAGATCAAGACAAAGTGGTCAGGAGCTTAGACGCACTTTTAATCCGGATTGATATGGCAGGAGGGCACCAAGGCTACTTCCCTACCTTCCTCTAGATTCCCGACACCTCGGTCCCTTTAGGCACCTCTTCCCAGGGAATAAACTGGGGTAAAGGAGAACTGGGAGCAAGCTGCCTACCCTGACACTGATCCATCGCAAACCAAGGAAGATGCTGGAAGCTGGCAGGGGAAGCCTATGCCTTTGAAAATCTGTTCTCATTTCCAGTTTGGGATAGACAAGTGTGGAGGTTACCCTTTCTCAGAGCTGGCCCTGGGCATGGGCTGCCTTCATTCCTTTAGACCCTTCCTAAGAGTCTGAGGTGAGCACTTCCCTAGAACTCAGTACAGGAATGGGCAGGGGTCCCTTCAGCAGCCTCAAGGGCAGGACACCAGGAGGCAGCAGTAGACCCAGGAGCCTGAAGGGAAACACCCACAAGCAGGAAAAACAAAAGGACCCTTCATGTGTCAGTTTTCAGCTAAGACTGTCAGTGCTATGTAGACACCCTCCCAGCCAAGCACAACCCTGCATTCACACGTGTCACACACACAGGGACAGACAGCAAACCATGTGGTGGCCATGCAGTGGAGCAGGGAAGCCAAAGATCAGGAGGGTAGTCCTGGCTCTGCTGAGCCCCTGCTCCTGCTAAGCCTGGAAAGACAGGTCCTTTCTATCTCTGACACTGCACCAGTTGTGACACCCTACAGCAGACAGTGGCTCTGCATGCACACCCACTCACCCTCCTCGCTGTGACAGAGCTCTACTCTTATGCATCTTCCAACCCTGCTTCCGTTCTGTAAACCACATCCTTCCCCTCCCCTAGAGATCTAAAAATCTGAACCCCTTCCCACCCCCCAATCTAAAGTCATTGTCAAAGAAGGGGGTGAGGCTGGGAGAGGGTGAGGTCATTACAGCCACCCTTGGCATTGGCATCCTGCTTCCTTCCAAAGATCTCCCAGACCTTTTCTATTATTGAGCTTCCTCAGAAGGAAATGCCACTACCTAAGAGCCAGAAGTGGGGGGCACCAATTCATGCCCAGCCTGGGCCCCTTCAAATCTAACCCCGCAATCTGCACAGCATCTCAGTATGGGGAATGCAAAGGGCTTGGGAAAGTTAGAGACCACAGACTCTTGGAGAGAACCCCAGACTTTGGGTTGGGGAAGGGCAGATGAGCTGGGGGTCCTGGTTCCAGCGCACTAAATCCTTAGGACCACTCTCTCTTCCAGTCAGCAGCCTTGGGGTGTTTTACTTCCCCTACTGTCCAGAACAGAAGTTAACCTCAGCTGTAAGTAGGCCAGCATTGGGCAAGGGTGGGGTGTGAATGAGCAACTCTTCTAAGAATCTCTGAAGGTTATTTTTTCTTTTCAGTGGTTTGGGGGCAGGGAGTAACAGAGCTTAATAGACTAAGATGGATACAATGTTGAATTCTATCATTCTTTCTAACTGATATTTAGCATTAATAAAAAGTGAGTATCTCTGAGGTCATCACAACTGCCTCCCCCCTCCCCCAAGCCCTTGCAAGTGCCTAAGAAATTGCCTCTGAAAGACTCCCACCCACCCCTTCCATTATCAGCTCCCTAACATCTTACAAAGTCTTATCAACAGGAATATTAATATTATTTTCAGTATCAGAAAAAAACAGCTGAGCAGCACAGGCAAAAATATATCTGCACTACGTTTCTGTCGTTGCCAAAAATATACACATCTTCTTTCTTTATTTAAAAAAAAATCAAACAAACAAACAAAAAACCCCAATAACAAAAACCCAAACAGAAACGCACACACAAAAAAATCCACACATGCAAAGAGACCGACAAGACAGGAGCATCGGGAAAGCCAGAACGCCCACCCTCTACTCCAACCCAGTGCAACTAAAACGAGAACACAGGCCTGGCCTGGCCTCTCTTCTGGCCACCCCAGTTGGTTTCTGCCTTGAAGGCCTGGGCAGGTGGGGGCTCTTTTAGGATGAGAATTACCCACTACACCCTAGGGAAATAGCTGGTGGGTGAGGGGATAGTTGATAGGTAAGCTTAAGCGGCTCCCCTGGTTGGTGGCGGTGGGGTGCAGGAGGCAGGCTGGCTTCTTCTTGGGAGGGAAGATTTTGCTAAAACAGTGGCACTTTACCCGCCTTTGCGCCCTCCCCCAGCCCTAGGGCTCCCTTTGTGCCAGGGAAGGACCAAACTATAAATGGGGAAGGGGGGCCCTAAGGGGGCCCTGAGATCATGTGGGTCCTGGGGGAAAAGAAGGCAGGATTTTACCCTGATTCAAAGCCCCCAGCCCTGTTACTCTCCAATATTGGAGTACTGTTCTGGTTTTTGTTAACCATTCATGCCCCAGAAAGGGACCAAAGTTGGTGAGGTGGGGAAGGTGCAAATGAGAGCTGGAAGCTCCCCCCACGCGGTGCTGCATCATCTGACCATTGCTCCTATCCCTGCCTGTGGTTGACCCAGGTCTGGGGAGAGAGACAGACAGGCAGGCAGGCAGACAGACAGACAGACACACACACACAAACACGCACGCACGCCATCACTCACACTCTGAGTCGGGCAGCTCCATCTCCCCACCCTCGGCACTCCTAATCCAATAGTGCAAACAGGGCGCAGGGCACCAAGGAAGGCTGAGGCCTCCCCTACCCACCCTCTCCTCCCCTCCCCATCACCGGGGCCCTAAGATAGGGAGGCTTGGGCTGAGTATGATGTTATCCTGCCCCTTCCTCAGCCACCTCCGCCTGTGGGCTTTTACAAGCTCAGCTTGTGACCCTTGTGGGGGAGGGACGGTGAGAAACAGTCCATGGGATCCCTTCTGCCATCTGCCCAAGTTGGGAAGGAACCACAGGTAAAGTTGGGCCAGCCCTTTTTCCATACAAAATTTCCATGCAGGCCCAGGGCCTGTCCCTCTACTTCTCCCCATTCAAGTGCTGATCCATATTATGTGACAGGTTCAACCAGCGCCCTACTTATGCCTTCTGGGGGACCCCAAAACATTTATGACTGTGGGCGCTCCTAGGTGGGCTCAGAGCCTGTCCTTCCTATGAGTCCCCCACAGAGGGGCCGGTGCAGAGAGGGAAGGGGCCCAGATGGAAGGGGCTCTTCTCTCAGTCTCAGTCCTCAGTACTGGTACCAGGAGCTCCTACACTCCCTGGACCTCCACACATGCTCTGGGTGCAGGTACCTGCTCCAGGCTAGAACCCCTCAGGCCAGGATCTACCCCCTCCACTGGGGGGGGGGGTCAGCAGGGGTATGGGTAGATTTAACCTTTTTCCTGGTTGGCTGAAGATCCTTTGTCAGCAGTCTGAAAAGAGAGGAAGGGAGGCTGGGGGTTTGGAGGAGGCGAGAGGTTTAGAGGTGTCTGGCCCTAGCATCTACTTGCAAATAGGTTCCTGGGCCAAGAATGCTGAGGTAGAGTGAGGGGGGCTGGCTGAAGCCTCCAGCCTGGGTGCTGGTGGTGCACACCAGGGTCAATGTGTTGGGGTGGGGATACTGCCCTGCCAAAGGGAACCCAGCCGAGTGACCATGAGCTAGCCAAGGCCTTTCTCATACCGATCACCCAGAGAGTCATCTTCTAACTGATCTGCTCACAAAGGAAATGGCCTTTTCTAATTGGTCTTCCCAGAAGGCTTATTTTCTAGTTTGTCTTTTTTTTTTTTTTTGAAGGCTGTTTCTAATTGGTCCTTTTCCTATTAGCCCATGCTCAGACTGGATCTTTCTTAGCCCTACAGGAGGGCACCCGTGGACAAGCAGAGCCCCTGGGGGCTTGGGCTTGCTTCCTTCCCCTGCTTATGCATCTGAAGATATACCTCTGACAGTCCATCTCTGCCCATCCCTCAGAAGGGAGATAGGAAGGCCTCAGACCCCTTACTCACCCCTCCTTTGGGGCCACTGCCACTGCCTTCCGCCCCCGACAGGCTGAGGAAGGGGTTGGTCTGGGCAGTGAGGACTGGAGGTCCGCCTGCTGCTGCTACTGCTGCAGCCGCAGCTGCTGCAGCCATGAGACTTGTGTTGTTGCCAAGTGAGGGAGCCACTAGGGCTCCAGCAGGCAGTAGGGGTGGGGCAGATGCTGTGGGCAGCAGGCCAGGGGTGCCCGTGGACAGCAGTGGGGTGGAGCTTCCTGCCAGAAGGCTGGCCATGGGCAGCTGGGAGCCCCCAGCCATTTGTAGGCGCTGCAGCTCCCGCTTCTGTTGGATCTGCTGGATCATCTGGTAGACCACGGTCTGGTGTTCCTGCAAGGGGGCCAGACTGCTCATTGGCCAGTGGTCCCCAAGGTCTCTTCCTCACTGCCTGCTTGCCTACCCGCCCTGGTTGGCCTGGGCCCCATCCCAGCACAAGGTACCACGAGGCAAGAGACCTGTAAGACAGTCAAGGTTCTGTCTCTAACCGCCCACTCTGGGCCTCAGTCTGCCGATATAGACAAGAAAACGGCCACATTCCATCAGTGTGTGTCAACTGGAGCATGACCGGCCAGGTGTGGGATATTTAACATTCCTTCTCCCACTCGATCAGTTTTTCAGTTGCTAAGACACTACAAATGCCCCAAAGAGTGGCATCACCCCAAGCTGAAAAACACTAAATTAGATCAATAGTTTTCGACTCCCTTTCTTGGGATTTTTCTTTTTTTTAATCATTTAACATCATCCATTTTAGGGGCAGGTGCAGTGGCTCACAACTGTAATCCTAGCACTCTGGGAGGCCAAGGCAGGTGGATCACTTGAGCTCAGGAGTTTAAGACCAGCCTGAGCAATATCAAGACTCTGTCTCTACTAAAAATACAAAAAATTGAGGCAAGAGGATTGCTTGAGCTGAAGAACTTAAGGTTGCTGTGAGTTATAATGCCAGAGCACTCTAGTCAGGGTGTCAGAGTGAGACTCTGTCTCAAAAGAAAAAAATTCCTTTTTGCTTTGCATAGGCGAAACATTGTCAGTGTCCTAAAAACCAAAATAATATATCAAAATTTATACCTTAAGAAAACTTGCTCCTACTCTTTTTTTCTTTTTGGAGCTAGAATCTCAACTCTGTCTACCTGGGTAAAGTGCTGTGGCATCATCATAGCTCACACCTCAAACGTTTGGGCTCAGGTGATACTCATGTCTCAGTCTCCTGAGTAGCTGGGAGTATAGGTATGCGCCACAACAACCCATTAAGTTTTCTGTTTTTAGTAGAGATGGTGTCTCTTTTTTGCTTAGGCTGGTCTCGAACTCCTGAGTTCCAGGGATCCTCCTGCTTTGGCCTTCTACAATGCTAGGATTACAAGCATGAGCTACCTTGCTTGGCCCTTGCTCCTATGCTTATTCCCATCTGGCCTCTATAGGTAACCAGTTGAATTGGTTTCTTGTCTTTCTAATGTTTCTTTTTTGTTGGTGGACTGGGTAGTCCCCCAAACCAGAATAGGCTCAAAGACACTCCCCCTGAACATTAAAAGGCAAAATTCCTTTTCTCCAAAGGCAATCTCGGCAGAACCCAACATATAAGACAGACCCAAAAGAAGGTGCTCTGGTTGAGGGGGTTGTCATCTGCTCAACCACCTCTCCACGTAGACCTAAGAGTTACCCTAGATCTTTAGAGAATGAAATACTCAGTTAACAGAGGACTTGCTCCCTGGGCTCTCTCACTTGTGAGGGCCACTGTAACAGCCCTATCTGAGAACAATCTTTATCCCCTTAGACTGCACGATGTTCCATGAGGGCCAGTCCCAGTCCCACAGACTCAATCTCAGTCCAGCCTGGAGCTTCCCTCCTTCCTTTCTGCTCCTGCCCTCCCTAGGCCAACCTAGGTCCTCTGAGATGGCAGAGCTGGCCAACTGGAAGAGCAAGGGGCACCTGAGGCAGGCCAGGGACGGGAGGGCATTACCGGGGTCAGCTGTGGAGAAGCGAGGAGCTGCTGCAGTTGCTGGAGCTGCTGCTCTTGCTGCTGAAGGAGGTGTCTCTGCTGCTCGGTTAGGCTGAGGCAGGGAAAAACACACAGACCATAGGGAATGGCTAAGGAAACGTCCTTCTCCCACTCCCTCAAGCCCACGGACTCCCTAAGCCCAGATGAGGAGAGGTAGAAACCTGTGATCTCAAAACCTGAGCTCAGAGCGCGCGGCAGGAGGGATAAGAGAGAGATGGGACAACTGTCCCAGAGGGGAAATCTAGCTACAACCTAGACATTCACGGCTAACTGTCTAGTCAGCAGATGACTGGGATTATACACCCTGCGAGAGGGGAGGACATTTTCCCTTAGGGGGAGTATGCGTGTTTGTGGGGGGAGCTCCTCCCAAAGCCAGCCTCCCCGTTCCCTTCCCCAGGGCTGAACTCTCCCTCACCTGTTGAGACAACCAGGCAGCTGCAGCGTGGGGGCCCCACCAGCCTGGTTCAAGCCCGGAGGGTTGGAGGCAGCAGCCCCATTCAACCCTCCCAGGAGCCCATTGAGGGGCAGGCCCCCACTGCTTGCCAACCCCCCCAACAGCCCCTCAGCCATGGGCATGGCCCCTAGCCCTGCTGCCCCTGGTGCCCGGCCCAACCCGTTCTGTGGCTGGGGTGGGAGTGGGGCAGGGCCCCCAGGCAGGGCCAAGGGCAGAGTGGCAGGGCTCTGCTGGAGCAGGGGCAGCGGTGGGGGCGTGCTGTGGAAGGACAGCGACGAGCTGCTGCGGCTGGGGCAGCCTGAGTGTGGGTCCTGGGGAGGGAGGGGGAAAGGAGGGGTCAGCAGGACATTTCTGGCCCCTGGCCCAACACCCACCACCACTCTCACAGAGCACAGTCACCCCCACCTCACCCCCAGGCATCCTGGAGGAAGAAGCAAGGCCCAGGGATGAAGGCTAAGATCCAAATGGACTTCAGAGATCATGTTTCCTGACCCCTTCCTGGGGGCCCAGCATTCCTCATCATCCTTATTTAATAAGGGACAATAATGATGATAGTGACCATCTGGTGAAGCAGATGCAGGGTTTAGTACTCAGCCTGTGCTATCTTGTTATTCCCATTTTATAGGCAAAGCCACTGATCCTCAGAAAGGCTAAGTAACTGTAGGCAAGAACACTATAGCTGGAAGGAAAGGCTCAGGTTCAAATACTATCCCCACAATCCAATGGCTTGGGTGGTATTGGCTGCCTTCAACCTCTCTTTCTTTCTTTTTTTTTTTTGAGACAGAGCCTCAAGCTATCCCCCTGGATAGAGTGCCATGGCATCACAGCTCACAGCAACCTCCAACTCCTGGGCTCAGCCTCCCAAGTAGCTGGGACCACAGGCGCTCACCACAACACCCAGCTATTTTTTGGTTGCAGCCGTCATTGTTGTTTTGGCAGGCCTGGGTTGGATTTGAACCCGCCACCTTAGGTGTATGTGGCTGGCGCCTCAGCCACTTGAGCCACAGGCACCAAGCCCAACCTCTCTTTCTTAGTTTACTCATAATCTGGGAGTAACAGTAGTACCTATTCTTTAGGTTATTAGAAAAACTAAACTGGGCGGCACCTGTGGCTCAAAGGAGTAGGGTGCCAGCGCCATACACTGGAGGTGGTGGGTTCAAACCCAGCCCCAGCCAAAAGCTGCAAAAAAAAAAAAAAAAGAAAGAAAGGAAAAGAAAAAAAAGAAAGGAAAAACTAAATCAACCCTTTAAAATCTTAGCACAGGGCATAACAAAGGGCAACTATACAATTAATGCTACTTATTGTTATGATTATTACTGTCCAAGTCACACAATTAATAAATGGCAGAAAGAAAATAAGAACCCAGTTTGTTGAATTCCCAAAATAACCACAACACAACAATAGCAAATGCTATTCTAACCACCACCAATCACACAGGTATTATTTTGTGTGAAGTGCTATAATAAACTTTCCCCAAATACTTCTCAAGAAGACCTTCCTTGACCACTTTGTATCCACATACAAGTACCTTCCTCCATTCTCACATAGTCCCAAACTTATTTCCACTTTAGCACTTCTCTTAGTTTGTAATTATTTTTCTTGGATTTAGCCTATTTTCAGGAGCAGGATTATGCTGGCCTCTGATTACTTAGCCAATGCCTGGCACTAAGTAGGCACCTCATAAATATTATTTGATTAAGGGATGAACCAAAGAATCAGTCAGTTGCAGGGCAAGATGGGGCCTGGCGACCTACTCTCCTCCCTCCTCCCTGCCTCCACTCCTCCCAGCACCCACCTCGGAAGACGTGGACAACGAATTGTCCAGGCCCAGACTGCTCTTCCCTGGAGGGCTCTTGCTGGTGCTCAAGGAGTCGCTGCTGCCAGCTGAAGGAGGGAGGTCGGGGGTTCAGTCAGCGCCAGTTCAAACTGCCAGCATGGGCCCCCATACCCGGGCTGAAAAGGATCCCCTCACCTTGGGGAGGCAGGCCATAGGGCCCAGGGACAGGGCCATTGGCGGCAGGCAAGGCGGCAGGTAGGGCGGGGAAGGGCACAGAGAGCTGCACGTTGAGAATCTGCAGCCGTTCCTTCTTAGCGGTCAGGCTTAGGATCTGCTCTTGCAGACGCTGGTTTTCCTTCTGCAGCGCATGCAGCGCCTTCAGCATCTCCACAACTGCAGAGAGAGCAAAGGCGCCTGAGACCCGAGCGCTAAGTCGGGCGGGGCCAGAGGAGGGGGCGGGACCTGGGCGGGGTCTGGGAGGGAAAGCCCACTCAGACATCGAAAAAAGGCGCCAGCCTAATAATGAAGGACACAGGTGAGTTCGGAGGGGTGACGTGGGACCTGGGAACCACACGTGTGAAGGCCACGGGTAGGGACTGCGGTTCGGGTGTCGAAACCATGAGATTGGGGGAGAAGAGGTATGTGGATGTAAGAGTTTGGGGTTTGTTAGGTCTGGGCCAGGAGGCCAAGAGGGCCCAAGGGAGGGTGCGCTGAGGGGCGGGACCAAGAGCAAGGCCTAGCAAGGGTTAATTAAAGGTGAGGCCAGGGGTTAGCAGGAATCAAGGCTGAAGTGGTGCCTGTGGGAGGAACTTTAAAGAGGTAAGGGAACCAAGGGGAGAAAGGGGGCCCTGGGGCAGGTTTCCCTGCCCGGCACCACCCCTCCTCACTGTTGACACCGGCCTCCCCATCGCCCTGCTTCTCCAGCAGCTGCTCCATGTTAGTTGTCCCTTGGGCCGCAGAGTCTAATTGGACGCCCCCACAGGGTGTAGTGGCTGTCTGGTCGAAGAGTGCCGGGAGACTGCTGATGGGGGACCTGCAGTCAGAGGGAAAACCAGACTCAGGCTGACTTGACCACTCCAGGATTCCCCCCTCCTCCCTACTCAGGAGTTCCAGTCTTCTCCATCCTCCCTTGAGTGTCCCTCATGCCCAGCTCCCAGCCCTTCCCCAAGCCACTGCTTCCTCCCTCACATGGAAGACAGACTCTCCTGGGGGGAGGTTCCCCGACATCTGAAGCTGCAGTCCTCCAGGTCTGGCTCTTGGAAGGATAAGAGGAAGCAGGATTAGTGAGGGGGTGGGGAGCGGCTTCTCCAGGGTCCCAAGGAGGTGGAGGGTAAAAGATCTGGAACCTCACTACAGACTCCCTTCCCCAGGACCCTCCTAACCCAGCCTGGCAGTTCAAGATGGCAAGGCGTTTAGGGCCCTGGCTTGGAAACTCTGCCCCATGGGAGGCAAAACCTTGGCATTTGCTCCCTTCCCTTTTCTCTAGACAGAAAGGCTCTCATTGCCTGGCCACCTTCGGCTCCACCTCCCAATTTCTTTCCCCAAGAGCTTCAGAGTTATAGAAATTTGAGGTCAAGACATATCTGGATTGAACCTGAACCTGACATTAACTTGCTGTGTGAACTTGGGTTTGTAACTAGCCTCTCTGAAGTGACCATTATTAGGATTAATAGAAGATAATAAATAATGTGTTCAGCTTAAGGGTTTAACTGGTATGCAGAAAGCCCTTAATAACTGTAGCTATGGCTCGGTGCCTATAGCTCAACCGGCTAAGGCGCCAGCCACGTACACCTAAGGTGGCGGGTTCGAATCCCCAGCCCGGACCCGCCAAACAACAATGATGG